AAACCATTATTTTATATTGTAATAATATTTTGCAAGATTACTGTTTTTTTCTGTATTTTTGATCAAATAAATGCAGCCTTGATGAGCAGAAGAGACTTCTTTAAAAACATTACAAGTCTTACTGATCCCAAACCTTTGAACAGCGGTGTATATGTGCTTGTAATAAACTTGCTTATAAGCAAAAATCTATATTCTGTCTTAGCGAAGTGGGGAAAAAATAGATTTTTACATTTTCTGTGAACACCACAAATACGTTCATTTTCCAGTATTTGCCAATTATGATCCTAAGGTGTCTAAAGCGGTTGCTAACCACCACAAATCAAAAAAGGTCCAAGTCCATAGATATGGCTGGAGGATTTATATCATGTTCCAGGGGAAAATTCTAAGTTTGATTAGTTAGAAATTTAATTTTCTCAGCAACCAGCATGATTTGAGGTATCACATGTGTATATTTAAAGGAATAGTTCACCCACAAATGAACATTTGCTGAACATTTACTCACCCACAGATCATCCAAGTTTGTTTCTTCATCAGATTTGGATAAATGTAGCATTGCATCAGTGTCTCAGCAATGGATGCTCTGCAGTGAATGGGTGCCGTCAGAATGAGAGTCCAAACAGCTGATAAAAACATCACAATAATCCACAAGTAATCCAAAAATTTGAAAGCAATTAAAAATTATTATTATTATTATTATTAAATACTTTATTAATCCTTCACAGGAAATTACTTCTTTCTATGTATCATTTATTCATTATATTGTCCATTCTGTCTATCTATCTATCTATCTATCTATCTATCCATCTATCTATCAATTTCTAAGATTAAGAACGATGTAGATCTCTGGTTTGAGGACATAATATTGACTCTAATGTAACATTTATTTGAAACATTTCAGTCTTTATTGCACACTTGAGGAACAGGTTGAAGCTGTAATACACACAGTACATACTTCACTGAAGCAGGCATATCTGAAATGTGTAAAAGTGGTAATCTTATTTTGACAGCAAGGCACCATAAACATCGCAGTTTAGGTGACTGTGTGAATCACAGTGAGCTGCTCAGATTAGAATAAATACAGGATTCAGTGTGTAGTGGGCTAATATAACAGACAAAAAAAAAAAAAGTGTGTTTTTAGCGTTTTGTTGACATGAATGGTTTCTGGAGCTGTAGCGCCACCCTGTGGACACTTCCTGGAACTACAGGAACTCAGCTTCTGTGCAACACTTTCTTTGCCACAGGTTCAGCCAGCTGTAGGGAAATAAAAACAGGCCATGCTAACTAAAGCTTAGTTATCCATTGAATTATTTATTTATTCAGTCATTTAGAACATTTAAACTTTTTTGTTTTGTATTTGTTTCAATTTAAAATAACCCTATTAAACGGACATCTTATCTTATGATGACAGGTAGTGACAGAATTTTCATTTCCGGAGCAAATGTGACTTTTCACATTTTCTGCACTGATTTTGGTTGAAAGTCTGTGTAATTCTGCAGAATGAATTCAAATGCCTGTTTTGAATTTTAAAATGAGCTGAACAGTTAAAAATATTATACAATTTGGGTTAGTTATGCGTGATAAAAAAAAAAAACACTATGCAAGTCAACGGGGACAGCATTTCTCTAAAATTTCCAAACTCATTATGTATTCCTGGGGAAATCATCTGGTAATATGAATGATTTGAACATGCAATGTAGACACAGATTTACCTGCTTTGACACATAACATGTCTTTATCTCAAAATTAAATAAAACCAGAACATGGTCCTCTCATGAAATACCAATGGTTATATAATATGCATTCAAATAAACACTCAAATAAAACCTTGACTTGTATGTAAACATATACAAAAATTGTACATACGTTTTTACATGAACTTTTTAAATAAATAATGCAGGTTAATATGTACATTTGTGTTGAAATAGAAACATTTCAGCGGCTGTAATAGCTTGTTTTCATGACAGATTTATTCAAACATATATTAAACAGCATCAGAACCACATTTACTGTTTGAATTGTTGATAATTGGGTGCATTAGTAAAATCAGGGCTTACTGAAGCTTGGCATCATAAAATGCAGGAAATGATTGGCACATAGATCACTGTCGGTCTGCTTCTGCTCTCAATGCTGTATTTCAGAGGACCTGTGGACAATGATCTTTCGTCTTTAGAGAGCAACTGAACGAGTGTCTGTATGATAGTGATCTTCAGAAATCATTCTAATATGCTGATTTGCTGCTCAAGAAACATTTCTGATTATTATCAGTGTTGAAAACAGTCGTGCTGCACAATATTTTTGTCAGGATTCTTTGATGAATAGAAAGTTCAAGTTCAAAGCATTTATTTGAAAAATAATTTGTAACATTATAAAAGTCTTTACTGACTATTTTTGATCAGTTAAATGTGTCCTTGATAAATGAAAGTATTACTTTCTTTAAAAAATCTTTGAATGGTAATCACAGTTTTAACATTTTAAAAATTGAAAATAACCAGAAACGTTTCTTGAAGACTGGAGTAATGATGCTGAAAATTAAACTTTGATCACTGCAATAAATTACATTTTACAGTATATTTGCACAGAAAACAGTTATTTTAAATTGTACTAATATTTTTAGTACAATTTAACAATAGCTGGGTTTGTCCCTTTTTAACCCAGCACTGGGTTATATTTAACCCAGCATTTTTTAGAGTGTAAGATCAGATCAATACGAACAATCAGTTCCAAAATGAAATACAAAACCTGTGCTAACTGAAACAAAACAAGTTGACAAAAAGATTAAATCCAATATTTGGCAATAACATAGCATAACTAGAAATTTATAAGCAATTTTTTGAAGGGTTGACATTTTTGCCTGGGATCAACATAAGGGGAAAATCATCAAAAAGTAAAAAATTACCAAACTTTTTTGGGAAGTTGTTATACCCTACAAAATAGTAGTTGACTGGCAGGTAGGTCAGCCTATCGTAGCCCTTGGACCGAGGAATCTGATTGGATGAACATTTTATGTTCCCACGCCTTCCACAGACGATATAAACACATTTAGAGCACATAACATAGTGATTGCTTTCGGGATGTGAAGAGACTTTCAACCAGCACAACAAAACAACCCTGCCTTTAAATATGCTCATTTATAAACATGTTCAGAACAGAAATCTGAAGCCAGGTTCAAAAGTCTTGTTATATTTAGTCGACATTAGAGTTTTAGGTTTTCACAGAGAGGATTCTGGATATCTATTTTTATCACTCCATAAATCAGAAAATACAGCTGGGAAAAAATACATTTTCACCATCTTTTTTTTTTTTTTTTTTAGGAGAAAATGTATAAATCGGTGTGAATCATTTATGAACAGACCCCTCAGTAAAAACCTTCATAATATAGATAATAATTTAATACAAATTAAAGTCATTGCAAAATGAAGTAGTTCTACTTGCTTTCTTATTTTCAATGAAATGGTGTTTAGATCATTTTTAAATAAAGAAAACAAAAAAACAAAAAACAGAAAATGCAGTTTGTTGTTGGTAAATTTACATTTGATTTGTGGATATACAATTTGCAAAGAAAATAAATTAACAAATAAATTGTAACAAATGTAATAAATTATAACAAAACAAGCATTGCTTTGATTAGAGTCAGATTCATAATGTCCCAAAACATTCCTTTGAGATTAATGGACACATCTTGCTGATATTATCATTAATAAATGAACCAATATTTTTCCAGAGCTGTTCAGTATAATGACTAAAAAGTCCAGAATAAATGACAGTTTCTGTTTCTTGTATCAATATTAGTCTTATATTTCTTCATAAAATGTTTAACACGGTAACATTTGTTCATTAGTTTGAAAGATACTTCTTTTATTTTATTAGCGAGGAAATATTTCTGTTGCAAAGACCATATTTAGTTTTTTTTTTCCAATTCAAATTTCTCAATAAATTATTCCAATAAGAGATTACAGGCGACAAAAAGGTAGGCTAACTTTTTCAATAAAAATAGAGCTAACTTTGTAATTTCTATCTTTTTTTAACAGAAAAAAAACACATTTTTATTGGTTCAGGAAAATAAGCTTTTTAAGAAGGGAGTGAATTAGAGCGATTTCTTTCTTTCTTTTTTGACAGTTCTCTTTTTTATTTATTTATTTGTATTAATTCTATATGCTGAACAATTAACATTCAAACGTATAACAACAAAATGTTACAAACATGGTGTTCACGTTCAAACAAAACCCATTAACGCGACGTCATCGGCAAAACGCAGAAACTGCGTACGTCACATCCACGCAAAGACACAGTGACGTAGTACGCAAGTGTCCGCAGCTCGAGGCCTGCCAGTGGACGGAAGCTGACAGTGAGCGCAGATCTTGTGTCTTTACGAGGAAAACAAGGCGAATACAGCATACTCCCGAGTTCAGTGTGAACAAGACACCGGTCCTCTTCTAAACCTGCTCTAGAGCTGACTGCGTCTCTGTTAAGAGGGTGAGTAAACGTTGGCAGTGTAACCGCGGATGTTTGTAAGCTGGGTTGTGGGGGAGGGTAACGCACCGCAGTAAACACCGCTAGCTTTAGCTGGTTATTTGGTAGAATAAACATCTTAGTGTGTTCTTTCACTTAGTGGGGAGTATTGTGTTTAACACTCTGTTGCACAGTATATCATTTCGATATGGCACATCGACTGATACTAGTACCGTGATGGTATTAGTAACGTTACCGTGGTACGTTACTCTGCTATATACCACGGTAACGTACTGGATGATGATTCATATTTTATGATATAACGTTACATTCAAACCAAAAACTAGTCAGACACCAGATATAATTTTTGATATTTTTTTTTTACTAGTGGGTGTAGGACACTATAGTTAATTTATGTACGTTAAGTGAGGATAGCAAAATAAAGTAAAGTGTGATATTATACTCAAAAATATTCATACAGTGGACTAGCAGTCAAATTTGGGACAAAAATGATTCACACTTTGAGCTGAGCATGTTTTGCTTAAGTGTTTTTTCTTTTATTGCTAATGCGAGCTTTTTACACCAAGTAATTGTTTGTTTGTTTGACCTAAATCGGTATTATCTAATTGTGTACTTTAAATTAACAGCTGAACAATTTTTGGTTGATTGTAATCCATCACATACCTTGCAATCAAAGTTATTTGACATTATCAAGATGAATTTGTTCTGAGTTCTTGTCATATTTTATTACCATTTTCTAAACTATATAGTATGGCTGGGCGATATAGCTAAAAAATGTATCAGCGATATAATGTTTCATATCGTTCGGTATCGATAATTATTGACATTTTTTAAAACAAAGAGCAATAGATAAACATTTTTACATTTAGCCACTGTATTTTTAACTTAACCCAATTTGAGACAAACAACAAATATTTTTTGTCTTAACAATCAAACACAAAATAAAAATTAAACCCATATCTCATTTCTAATGTTTTATATGCACACAAATTCATGACGTGTTTTCTAAAAGTTTAAACTGTTTTAACTGTGCATGGCTACAGCTCTTGTGTGAGACGCGAGTGCAGCAGTAATATTTGTCCGTCTAAAAATGCGCTGA